CCCGGACGTCACATTAGCAACTATTACTGCAAACGCAGTCAATTTCTATTTTTGTAAAAGTGAAAGGAAGGGACTGGAAGTAAGACTTGGAGGAGGTGGGAGTCAGAAGCTCCAAATACCAACCTCATTCTGCCCGGGTGACTCAGCGTGATCTTCCTGTTACTGTTCCTCGTTTCTCATGCCACCCACACAACTGTGCAAGGTGACTTTGAGCATTTACTTAGGCGAGGATAAATCAGCAGAAATGCATTTTTAAAGAACCTAAAATTATTCTTCAAGTGCACAAGATTACACTGTTTAATAATGATAGATACTCCAGGAATCCAGAAGCTAGAAATATTATTTTCATGGTTTAAAAAAAAAACAACAATATTAAACCTGTGGATCAAGTATCAGTGACACTAGAGCTTCCAACAAATTATTGGCAATCTCTTTCTTGAAATGACTGCCAAGGCAGTTGTCTTTTAGAACTTTCTTCTAGAAACTATAAGGTCATTTCTTCCTATAAGTCAGAAATAACAGTAATACCTTTAGTAGTGGAGGGAGCTTAGGAGCAATAGGGGTCAGTCCAGATCACCAATGGTTAATTTTATTTATTTTGCTATTTTTTTTACTTTGAAATAATTTTAGACTAACAGACGAGTTAATAAGATGGTACAGAAAATCCCCGTAACCCAGCTGCTCCTAATGTTAACACCTTATGCAACATTTATCAAAACTAAAAAATTAGGGGCGCCTGAGTGGCTCAGTGGGTTGGGCTGCTGCCTTCGGCTCGGGTCATGATCTCAGGGTCCTGGGATCGAGTCCCGCATTGGGCTCTCTGCTCGGCGGGGAGCCTGCTTCCCTCCCTCTCTCTCTGCCTGCCTCTCTGTCTACTTGTGATCTCTCTCTGTCAAATAAATAAATAAAATCTTTAAAAAAAACTAAAAAATTAACATTGGTACAGTTCTATTAACTAGACACTTTATTTGGATTTCCCCAGTTTTTCTATGAAGGTCTTTTTCTCTTCCAGGACCCAGGACACCTCATTATAATTAAGACCTCCGGTCTACGACACTTCCTGTCTTTGTTTTTTACTACTTCGACAGTTGTAAGGGGTGCCAGGCAAGTATTCTATAGAATGCCCCTTAGTTTGGTCTGGTCTGATGTATTCTCATAATTAAATATTAAATATTAAATAATTAAAGGTTATGGATCTTCAGGAAAGAACACCATGGAGGTAATATGCTTGCTCTTTCAAACCCACTATATCAGAAAGGACGTGGTATCAATATGTCTTATGACTGATGATGTTAATCATTTAGTTAAGGTAGTATCTTCCAGGTTTTTCACTGTAAAGTTACTATCCTTCCTTCCCTACTTTCTATGCCTTAGAAGCAAGTGCAGCCCATATTCAAGGGCCAGGAAATTAAGCCCCATCTGCTGAAGGAAGGAATACCAAACCATGTGTGGACAAATGTTAAAATCACCATAGTAATTAATAAATAGTTAGGGGGGGGGGAACTCATTTGAGGCTCTGCAGAAATCCTGTTCTTGTTAAAGTTTCATCTACTTATTTTATTTAAGATTTTATTTATTTATTTGTCAGAGAGAGACAGCACAAGCGGGGGGTGGGCAGCAGACAGAGGGAGAAGCAGACTCCCCACTGTGCAGGGAGCCTGATGCAGGACTCGATTCCAGGACCCTGGGACCATGACCTGAGCAGAAGGCAGACGCTTAACCCACTGAGCCACCCAGGCATCCTATCACCTACTAATTTTAGTATCCATCAGCTTATCCTCCCTGAAGAAATTATTACTGTTATTCTAATGATGATTTTCTATTTCCATCATTCCTTCTATATTTATTAATTGGAATTTTTCTGAAAGGAAGAATTGTCCCCTCATTCCAATTTATTTATTCACTCATTTATTTATTAGTATGGACTCATGGTTATTTGAAAAGATAGATGGGAGGATAGAGAGAGAAAGAGAGAGAGAGATGTGTGTACATACAGACTAGTGTACAGATTAGTTCTGTCTGCTGAGTCTAGAGGGATCGACATTCCAGGAGCAATGAGCACATCTGGTGCCAAGATCTTGTATTCTAAATACCTTTCTCCGGTAAAAGGAACCAGGGCTCCTTAGAGAAATGGATTATTCTAGGGGCAGGAAAAATACAAGATGAGCCTAGAGAATTTTGTGGTGCCAAAAATTAAAGTGTTAAAGAAGGAAAGGAAAAGAAAAAGGATGGAGCATATCAAGAGAACACAGGAGCCAACCTGAAAGAGCCTCCAAAGCCACAGCTGGGATAATCTAAGCGGAACAATGATTAAATAAATAATGACAGTACTGGATCATAATCTCTGCTAGTTGTGAACATATGTATCAAGAGCAAATTAGGACTCACAAGAATAAACCCAAAACCCAGTTGCTCTCAGGTTTGGATTACGTGGCTGGCAGATACTTGTCAAAACCAGCTGGAGACTCTATCGCTGACTCCGTACATCAAACAGCGACAAATTCCACCAGCCCAGAGTTAGTGTACTTCCTTTCAAGTAAAGCCAATACCTGAAATTATGATGTATACAACAGAAGCTAAAGCCTTGATAATTCCCTAAACGTACATAAACTTTAAAAAAAAAGTAACACTGGGATGCCTGGCTGGCTCTGTCCGTGGAGCATCAGACTCTTGATCTTGGGGTCCTGAGTTCAAGCCCCAGGGTGGGTGTAGAGATCACTAACTAAACAAATGAACAAAACAAAACAAAATAAAAAGTAACTCTGATTCAGCGGTATTTTTAAAAAACCTTTAATTATTCTGAGTTTTTTTTAAACAGGTGTTCTAATCAAACTTTTTAAAAAAGATTTTAATTATTTATTTATTTGTCAGAGAGAGAGAGAGAGCAGAAGCAGGCAGAGAGAGAGGAGGAAGCAGGCTCCCCACTGAGCAGGTAGCCGGATGCGGGACTCGATCCCAGAACCCAGAGATCATGACCGGAGCCAAAGGCAGCGGCTTAACCCACTGAGCCACCCAGGCGCCCCTAATCAACCACTTTGTCAGGACAAAGAGCACTAACTGTTTCCGAACTCGCTCAGGAAGGACGGTTGCCGCTGCCCGCCTGCCCGCGCCGGCCCGGCCCCGCCTCTCTGTTCCTCCCTCGCTTAACCCTCAGGCACCTCGCGGCGAGGTGACCGGCGCGCGCAGGCGGGGCGGGCACTGGCGACCGCGCTGCGCTCCACCGCGGGGAAAGCACGTCCCGTAGGAGACCAGCTTCTCCCGCGGAGCCGCGGTCACGAGACGGCAGTTCTCCGGCTAAAACTGGGCGTTCCCGGCCCCTCAGAGGACTGCTTCTCGACGCAAACCCTTCTGTGTCCCGACGCCTCCACCTCCCTGAGGGGCGCCGCGGGCCAGCACGACCGCAACAAGCCCCTCGGACGGCCGGTCCAGCCCGGAGGCGGTCGCGTCTGCCGGCGTCTGTCCCCTCCACTCCTCACATCACGACAGCAAGCCCTGCCGTCTGCCGGTGCGTCCGCCCCTGGCCCCGGCGGTGGAGGCTGACGGGGGAGGAGGCCGGTCCCGTCCCGGGGTGCACGTGCCCGTCCGCCGCTCCAAGTCCCTTTCCCGCCGGCCTGTGCCGGCGGCGCGCGTCCGGGCGGCGGTCCCGGCAGGTGCGCTCTTCGGCTCGCGGCGTCGGGAGGCCCTCGGCGAACGCCCGCCCCGGGCCGGTAGAGCCGCCGCCGCCGGAGGGGCGCAGGGAGGAGGAGCCCCGAGCGAGCGCGCACGGAGAAGCGAGGCACGGAGGCGAGGCCGCAGACGCGGCGGCGGAGGGCCGTCCCGGCCCGGTGAGATCCGGGTCCAAATTCGGCTCTGCCGGCCTCGGGAGCTGCGGCGACGACTGTCGGGCTGCTTCGGAGCTCTAAGCGCCTCTCCTCGTGTGCAAGCCAGCAGGGGGGCTGCAGACACCCCGTGGGGGGCCAGGAGGGGACACGTCTGTGGTCCGTGCTCTCTGACGTGACTGGCGGCCCCACGGCCCCTTCCGATCCGAGACACGCCGTGTGGCGCCAAGAGGCTGACGTCAAGCTGCAGTCGAGCGCGGCCGCAGGCTGCGGGCCACGTGGCGGGCGCCTGTGGTGTCTGACAAGCAGCGGTCACCGCCGAGACTCCGATTCCTGCGCCGTCAGAGGCCGCGCCTCACGCCTGCCTGCTGAGAGCTTCCCCGCTGCCGCGAGGCCAGCATCTGCCCCGTTATCCTGACAGAGCTTCCCAGTCCCGCGTGCCCGACTCCTCCCGCCGGAAGCAGCGGCGAGGCCGAGGGGATGAGGAGACGCTCTGAGGGCCGGAGCCTCCGCGCTGCTCCGGGGGAGCGCCCTCTGCACAGCGCTCCTGACGCCCGCGGGAGTGAACGAGCCCCACCCCGCCCGGAAGCCGCTTCCCGCGTACTGCCCCGCGCGCAGTTGGAGAGATCAAAAGCGCCTCCCACGCGCTGAGACTCAGGGTGCGGATCCACCGGCCCCACATGCACGTTCCAGCAGCACAGTGGCTGCGTGAAGGGAGGCGCGCGGGGAGAATGACACGTTCTGTGGCCGCTGACCGCGGACACTGCAGTAAGCCCGGACCGGACCGTCATCATGACCGTCACCGTCCCGGAAGCAAGTAAAATCCCACACATGGGGGCGCCTGGGTGGCTCAGTGGGTTAAGCCTCTGCCTTCGGCTCAGGTCATGATCCCGGGGTCCCGGGATCGAGCCCCGCATCGGGCTCTCTGCTCTGCGGGGAGCCTGCTCCCTCCTCTCTCTGCCTGCCTCTCTGCCTGCGTGTGATCTCTGTCAAATTAAAATAAATAAATAAATAATCCCACACATGAGCGGTTCCGGAACCAGGTCAGCCCCACTCCTCTGCCCGGAGGACGCGGACTGCGTGTCACACGTTGTCACATGAGTACGTGTTTCCCTCGACGACGAGGGGCCCTTCCTGCTCTAGCCCTGCAGCGACCAAGCGGCGCACGCTGCGACCGCCTACCTTTCGAAGCGCTGCTTCATCTGTTTGCACGCGTAGTAGCCGCCGTCCCTCAGGCTCTGCATCTTCGTCACCTCGGAAAATGTCCCCTCTCCGATTTTGCCGACTGCTTTATAGCCTAGAACAAAACAGCCACACGGATAAACGCTGTGTGCTCAGGGACTGTGCTCACTTCCAGACAGCGGCTCTTTCACCCAGACGGTAACCCCACGCTGGCATGCCGAGGACTGTTACTCCATGTTTCTTTCTTTTTTTTTTTTTTTTAACTTTATTTATTTATTCGAGAGAGAGCGAGTAAGAGAGAGCATGAAAGGGGAGAAGGTCAGAGGGAGAAGCAGACTCCCCCTGGAGCTGGGAGAACGACGCGGGACTCGATCCCCGGACTCTGGGATCATGACCTGAGCTGAAGGCAGTCGCTCAACCACCTGAGCCGCCCAGGCGCCCTACTCCATGATTTCTAAGGTTCGGGGCTCCCCTTGGCTCAAGGGAAGCTGCCGGCAGGGGGAACTGCAGAAGAGGGTCAACGGGGCCAAACTTCCAGTTCCAAGAGAAGGAAGTACTGGGGATGGAACATGCCACAAGGTGACTGACCACAGCTAACATCCGCCGCATGACATACAGGACAGTTGTTCAGAGAAGAGTCCCAAGAGGGCCCATCACAAGGAGAAAATTTTGTTTCCTTTTTCCTTTCGATTGTATCTGCCGGAGACGATGGGCGGTAGCTGAACGCATTGTGGTCATCATTTCTCCATATGTGTGAACCAAACCGTCGTGCTGCCCGTCTTACACTCATACGGCGACGCGTACCCACTGTCTCTCAATACAACTGGGAAAAAAGTAAACAGGACTTTCACACATTGGGGAAAAAAACAGGCAGCTAGGTTGTGTGTCCGCAATGAGCAGCATCTCCTCCCGGGCTGTGCTCCCCCTCGTACAGCGGGGAAGCTCCCCGCCTGGACCCCGCCTGCGGGGAGAGGCTCAGCGCCCGGTCAGAGCTGGAAAGCAGATGACCTGAGTGGCGAGGCCGGCTGGAACTCTTGAGCAGGAGCACCCGAGCTGGGGCTCTGCGGAGGTGTGGTCTCGCACCAGCGGCCTCCGAACCTTCCCCAACCTTCCCCTGAACGTCAGCCTCGGGGTCCTGCGGAAGGCCCAGATGATCTGCGGCCGGCTCCTGGCGTTCTTGCATTTCCTGACTTTAGGAAAGCGGCCAACAGCTTCGCTGGCTTTGCCGCCGCCACCACCACTGCCACTCCGGTTCAGATGACAGCTTCATAGCCGCCGATTCACTACATTAAATGCCATGCTGTCTGAAGTCCCTAGGGCAGTGGCTGTTTCTCAGACCAAACCCTGACAGGCGCAGGAACGAGGATCTTGAGCTAAGATGCCGGGAACCGGGAACAAAAAAATGTAAGAAATACAGTCAGGTGGCAGACAGCAGGCTGGGGTGCTGGGGAGCCTGGCACACCACGGCGAGGACCCAAGTCCCTCCTGCGGTGACTGCTGCCTGGCATGGAGCAGTGTCTCCCCAGCCTGCGGGCCTCTGGAAAGCAGTGGGAAGGGCCAGGGAGGTGGGGCATGTTGACTACTGACTGCCTCGGCAAAAGGGTTCCAGACAACAACAAGTTCAGCGCACAAATGCTACTTTTCAAGCAGAGATGGAAGGAATGAGAAAAACCCAAAAGGAAAAAGTCTTACTGGGTTGAAAAAGTTTCTTCAGTCCAAGAAAGAGAAGAGTAAGATAGTAAAATATGTTGACAGAAGCAGTCTGTGAGACTTCCCAGTCGCACAAAGGGTTCAGCGTGGCACGAAGATCACAGAAAGGCAGCTACTCCCCACCCCGGCCAGGCACTGATTTCGGGGAGCTTGAAGGGAGGGCCCGGAGATCGGGACGAGACACAGAATGCAAGGCCCAAAAGAAACAGGGCAGCCTTTCGAACTGTGTCTAGGAAAGAACCCTGAGTGTGGAGCTGACCAGAAGCAAACAGCTCAGAAACCTGTTAAACAGACCTGGACCACAAAAAGCCCCGCCACCTCTGGGTCCCAGACCTACACGAGCACAGAGCAGGCTTGTACAACAGCACAGCCCCAAAGGAGGCCGCCCCCTCCAACGCCTCTCTTGGATAGGACACATCTGTAATGCCCACATGAGTTCTGATTTGAACAAACCAATGATAAAAGACAGTATTTTTTTTTTAGAAGCAATAATGTTTCTTAGAAATATGTATAAAAATGAAAAAATTTCTCTACTAGCAAGAAATACTGAAGTACTGCCAGGTGAAATGATAAGGTGTGTGAGATTTGCTTTAAAATGCTCCTGTGGGGGCACCTGGGTGGCTCAGTGGGTTAAAGCCTCTGCCTTTGGCTCAGGTCATGATCCCAGGGTCCTGGGATAGAGCCCAGCATCAGGCTCTCTGCGCGGCAGGGAGCCTGCTTCCTCCTCTCTTTCTGCCTGCCTCTCTGCCTACTTGTGATCTCTGTCTGTCAAATAAATAAATAAATAAATAATCTTTTAATAAATAAATAAAAAATAAAATGCTCCTGTACGTTCCCACTGGCCACTGCTGAACGTGTACGCGGGGACAGTCACTTGGAGGGCAGTCTAACATACCCATTCCATCTGTAAGACATTCATACCCTCTGACACAGCAATTCCAAGTGGAGAACTTATCCTGTAAAAAACACTTGCTCAAGTAGGTATGACACGAGGATGTTAGTTCAACATTTTATTAATAGGGAAAAACTGATGCTCCCCCATGTGGAACTAGATAAATTATGTACGGTTTATCCATATAATGGAATATATTGAATATATTTTAAACAATGACCCAGATTAGGGGTGCCTGGGCGGCTCAGTCCATCAAATGTCAGACTCTTGGTTTTGGCTTGTGTCATGATCTCAGGGTGGTGGAATGGAGCCCCATGTCAAGCTACTTGAGAATTTCTTTCCCTCTGCCCTCCCCCTGCCCTCTCCGTCTCTATCTTTCTCTTTCTCTCAAAAAAAAAAATTTTTTTTTGACACAGAATATTATTCCCTTTAAGATAATACACTTAATGCTCTCTCTGAGGGGTAAGGTTACCAGTGTCTCCTCACCTAAGTTAGATATTTTCCATAATGACAGCACCATTTTATTAAAAAGCAACAATAAAAACTATAGACTCCAGGGAAAAAAGTGGCAGGGGTAAGAACAGCAAAATGTCATCATTGTATAAACTAGGTAATGGTACACAGGAGGGCTCACTGTATTATTTTCTCTACCTCTGGCATGCTTGAAGCTGTCCATAATAAAAAGTCAGAATAACAAAATAAAAGCAGAGGAAAAGGCAGTCGCTGCGGCAGCCACAGCGCGCACCAAGACAGCAGGCAGAAAAAAGGAAAAACCAAACCTCCCCCATGCGACCCCCGGCCCCACACAAGCTCACACCCCTCTGACCAGCCAGGAGAGAAATGAGCCCCCGGGAAACTTAGCAGATAGAGATGATGGAAAAGCTACCAGGAAAGACTCCCGATGGGGAGCACCCACATAGGACTTGATGAGAGCATGAAAAACACCTCTCTTGTGAAAGCCCTGGAAACTCAGGGTTTTATGTATCCATTAAAGCACCTGGGGAGCATTACCCTAATATACCTGATATATAAATATCATGTCATAAAACAGAAGCAATGAGAGACTTTTGAGAATTTGTATTTATAAGATTTCACAGAAAAGTCATCTTTTGGGGGCGCCTGGCTGGCTCAGTCGGTGGAGCCTACAACCCTCGATCTCAGCTCAGGTCTTGATATCAGGGTTGTGAGTTCAAGCCCCACATTGGGCTCCACTGGGCATGGAGTTCACTTCAAAAAAAAAATCATCTTGTCATTCAATATTCATTGAATATTGTCATTCAATATTTTGTAACTTAAGTTACAAAAATTCAGCCTGTGCCTAATTTTTCAGAACAAACTTCTCTGTCTGAGATTTTACTTACTTATAAGTTACCAAATTAGCCAGCTCCTGTTTCCTGAGAACTGGTGGAAGACACAGCGTCCTGCGTCAGAGACGAAAGACCTTATGACTCACAGTAGAGCTGAAGTCTCATGGTGGTGACATGATGGGCCCAGATGACACGTGTACATGCAACCGACTGCAATACCGGAGAGAAACCCAGGGCCAGTGGCCCAGCCCTTCTTGGACAAGCAGCTCAGAGATGGATACGCTCTGCCATCTGGCATACTCAGCGAGAACTTGCAGGGAAGCTCATGGCACAGAGCAAAGTGCTTCCCCCAACAGCTCATTACAGGGTTAATACACACGGCAGCCACTTTTACTGAGACCGTACGTGGTATGGTATTGTTCTTGCCTGTAAGTATTCCTATATATGTCATATTGACTTCACTGCTACCTTTCAATCTTCCTCAAAATAACAATTTCAGTGCACATTTTCAAATATCTTAGCTTCAGGCCACATGAGATGAGAAAATCCTATTTGTAATTACATATTTGTAGAAATTGGAAAAAATGCTTCTCCCCAAGAACAGCATCTCCCCATGTTATTACCATTCAAAATGCCACACACCGCCACCACACCATAATGGCTACCACGGGAGGAAATAAGGACCTGTGACTGCTGTGCATTTGGGAGACATTCAGCAACTCGTGCAGGGAAAGACTGAAGAAACAATTGTTTAAGTTGCTCACAAAAATTTATTTTCCAAAGAGGACTTCTAAGGAAAGAGATAAAAAGCACTGAGAGTACCCTAAAAAGATAGGCCCTTGTCCTAACCCCTGGCACCTGTGACTGTTACCTTATTTGGAAGGTCTCTGCAGGTATAATTAAGTGAAGGATCTTAAAATGAGAATATTCTGGATTATCCAAGTGATCCAATGGCAAGTCCTTATAAGAGACACAGAGAAAGAGCAGAATGGTGGTTGCCAGGGCCTGGGGAATTGTGATTCAGCAGGTATGGAGTTTTAGTCATGCTGGGTAAAAAAAGTTCTAGAGGTTTATTGTACAATAACGTGCACCCTTAGCAATACTATACACTTAAAGGTTTATTAAGCGGGTAGAACTCATGTCATTGTTTTTCACAACAATAAAAAAAGGGAGAGAGACACACACATAGAAGAGGAGGCCATGTGA